CCGGGGGCGCCGGGCGCGGGCGGCGCCCGTGGCCGGAGCGGCTTCGCGGGCGCAGGTCTCGCTTATCAGCACGTCGTTCGTGCTCAAGGGGGACGCGACGCACAACCAGGCGATGGTGCACTGGACGGGCGAGAACAGCAGCGTAAGTGACCTCCGCGCGCCCCCCGCGGCCCCTGCCCCGGACACCTCGAGCCCCCACTTCCGGACCGCCCCGCGGTCACCCCCGGGCGTTCTCGGCGACTTGGGGACGCGAGTCACCTCGGCGGCGCCCCTACCGGACTCTGGCCACCGGTTTCTTGGGGAGAGGTCCCTAGATATGTGAGCACCCTGCCTCACAGGGTTCTGGGACCCCGAGCCACCTCGGAGCCGCCCCCTCTGGCCTCCAGATCCCAGGTTACGGGGTGGGGGTGTCTCCCGAGGCTTCGGGACCCTGGTCACCTGGGGTGCCTCCAGGTCCTTTAGGACCACCCCAACTCGGTGTCGCGCCCCGACCGCTCTCAGACTCCACCCGGTCTGCTCAGCGTTGTGTTCTGGGATTTTGGCTGCGGGACCCTCTCCACCCAGGTCTACCCGGGACCTCGCTAGTGGTCTACCCTGGAGCTCGCTCCACGGGCTCCGGGAATTCCCCGGTCAGCTCGGCGCGGGATTCTGGGACCCACCCCCCTCCGGATTCCCCTAGTGCCACCCGGGTCTGCACCCGGAAGCGCAGGGATCTGCGTACCCACGGAGTTGGGCGCCGCGCTCTCCATCCGCCGCCGCCGCGCTCTCCATCCGCGGCCGCAAACTCCCAGCCCTCCCTTTACCTTCCCAACCGCTCTGGAAGTTGGGCTCCCCCACCCCCGCCACATCTGTTAGGGTCCTGGGCGCCTCCTTCTTCCAGCGCTGCGCTGTGGTTCCTATCCCTCCGGATACCGGCCCATCCTTTTTTTTTCGTGGTGCGTCCGGATGGGGGTGTGTGTGTGTATGGGGATGCCCTCAGATTCTTCCCTGGGGAGCTGCCTCAGCCTCGTTTTTCCCCTGGGCAGATGACCAGTGGTCACGCATGGGTCCCCTTCCAGCAGCCCTAGTGGGTCATGTCCAGTTTTGGAAAAGTGCAGAGAGGTGGCAGCTGTTGAGGGGGGTGGGGACTGTTGTGTGGGGAGTAGAGATGGGACTCTCCGCTTACTCCCTTCCATCATTGTTCACTAGGGTCTCCCCCAGTGGCTGACCCCCCAGCTCTTCTCCTGGACAAAGTTCTGAGGAGGCAGCAGGGGGCCAGGACCCCTGCATGCTTTGGGAGTGGAGGAGTGGGGATCTTTGCGCTTCCCTAGCCAGGAAAGGGCTGTAACATGGGCTGGGGGCACTTTTTTCCCCCTCTCTGGCTAGCCCTACTGGGCTAATGGGGATGGGGGTGGGGCGGATTCTGCTGGAGAAGGGAGGGGTGGGGGGACGAACATGTTGGACCACCCTATTGCTCCTCCTGCGGAATCCAGGGGCAGCGCATCAGGGGGCAGCACTGGCCGCACTTGATTGGTCCAGAGCCCAGAGCCCTGCCAGTCCCCCTCCTTAGCCAGCTGGGGGCTGCACCGGCCTGACACCAGGTCTCTGGTCATTTCTGCAGCCTCCAGGCAGACTAGAAGCCTTGGGGGAGGGTGAGCGGCTGTTGAGTTGACTCCCTGGAGGCCAGCAGGGGGCGCTCAGGGAGGCAGGTGAAGTGGGGGTGGGGGAAGGTGCCTGACCGAAGGTAGCAGGCACCCGTGCCTAGAAGAGCCCTAGAAGCCTGTCCCCATCTGCGTGGTGAAAGAGGGGTCGGACCCCAGATGAACGGCTGGGCCCGGCCCTTCATCACCCCCATACTGTAAACATACCCTGTCCGCTGTGCTGTAAGCTGACTTAGGGACTGAAAGGTAACCCGGAAACCAACAGCTGGAGGAACACGTGAGCATTTAAGGTCATCCCGTGGAGCCAGACTGTCTCAACTAAGCCCCCCACCCCACCGGCTGAGGTGGTTGAATCAGCTGCTGATCCAGTCCCTCGTCATTTTCCCTTCATGGGGTGGGGGAGGTGGGGGTGGCAGAAGGGAAAAAGGGGCAGTCAGGGGTGGGACCAGCACCTTCAGGACTCACTGGCTCCCAGCACCCACCCCAGCATGAGCACAGAGCCAGAGGACTGTGCACCTTCCTTGGGGGGAGTGAGGAGGGGGCTCAGGCCAGCGGGGCTGGAGCTCCGGGGTGGGGGTGGGGAACAACAGAGGAGCCTCCCTGGCTTTGCTCCCTGGGGACGCTGGCTCCTGATGAGTGACCGCTTTGTAACTAGGAGGATTGAATCCTGGCTGTTGGCAGGTGAATTCCTGGAGAGGGGGCTTGGGAGGGGAGGGGATCTGGCTTCTCTTTGGTGGGGGTGGTGGTGGCAAGAGGTCCAGAACAGGAGGGGAGCTTTAAAGGCTGCATCTCTCCTCCGGCCCCCTGCCAAGGGGAGGGCAGGGATAGCGTGTGCAAAGCAGGGCCCAGCCTGGCACTTAGCACACACTTAGGAGGCGGAAGCCAGAAGTACCTTATTACCATCAGTGAGTGTTGTTGTCGGTGAGGTAAAGAGAAGGCAAGCAGCATTGAAATGTTGACCCAGCCTCTGGAATGGGATGTTGAGGCAGACTGAGTTCTCTCTGGAACAAAGCAGGTCATCTTCTGGCCTGGGGAGCAGGTGGTGCTTAACTCGGGGGGAGGGAAAGTGGAACCGAGCGCTAAATGAAAATGTGTTTCTAATTGTCACTTGCTCCGCACACAGGTGCGTGTCTGGTGCAGGCATGGCATTGTTTTCTGGGCACGAGAAGCTCTTGGAGATGGGCTTTGCTCCCTCTGTTCTCAGCGGGCGGCCACGGGGCCAAAGATACTAGCCAGCATTCTGCACTTGGTTTCGCCCGCGCTTGAAGCCACCATCTTTTAAGGCTACAACAGGGAAGAAACTAACTCGAGGCCAATTTGCAGAGCGGAGTCTTTCACAAATTTTATTTCGCTTCATTTGTCCAGGTAGGGCGACCCCGGAAACTGCTTTGCAGATGTAGTCCCCGGGAGTAGAGGAAGAGTTTGCTTTCAAAATTAAAAAAAGCGTTCACTGAGAGGGGTAGACTTTCTGAAATAGTATTTTTGAGCATCTGCAAGAAGGAGTCACAGGATTGCAAGAGACAAGCCCTTGTCCCCGAGCACTGGGAACATGTGCACATTTTCCTTCCCACGGCCTGATTTCTTCCTGCTCCCGTGGAGATAGGGACGCGGACTTGCCTGGGAGTTCAAATACTGCCTTTCTGTCTGTTGAGCCGTAGAAACAAATTGTTATGTGTGAGATTCATGTTTCATCGAAACCATTGGGCATCGCCTTGGAGGGATCCAGGTTGGGCTTTCCCCAGAGGCTCCAGGTTCCGCTTCTCTTGAGCCGCCCTCGAAGGCACGGGTGTGATTTGAAGGTGGAAATCATGTGCTTATTTTGCTTATTCTAAGTAGAGCTCAACCTGTGTGCCTTCCCTCATGGCATTGAACTTCCATTTTGGTGCATTCACGTCACTTGAACGTGAGCTTGCTTCGACCAGACCTAGTTGGTTCAGCATTGTCACTGCTCTCAGTAGATGAGCCCCTCTCCCTGTCCCCTTCCATCCCCGTCCTCACCCCCGCCCCCTGCATTTTCCACATTTGCTCTGTGCTGTTGTGCCTACAGGATTGGGGATGTCCAGGGGAGTTGTATACAAAGGTAATTTTGAGCTGGTTATCCATGTTCTCTGCTCTGGGGTCTTGAGGAACCTGATATTTGTGTATATTTTAGACCCAGGGAGCCAGGGCTCCAAATCGAGGGTATGGATTGGGTCATGACAACTTGCCAGATGTCAAGTTCCTGGAGGGCAGGTGCATTAGTGTGCTTGGGTTTTCGTATCAAAGCAGCCCAGACCGGGTGGCTTCAACGACAGAAGTGTATTTCCTCCCACGTCTGGAGGCTGAGAGTCTGAGATCCAGGCGTGGGCAGGTTGGTTCCCTCTGAGGCCTCTCCTCTTGGCGTGTAGACGGCCGCCTTCTCCCTGTGTCCTCACGCGGTTGTCCCTCTGTGCGTGTCTGTGTCCCAATCTCCTCTTCTTCTGAGGACCCCCGTCAGATTGGATCAGGCCCACCTGACTGGCCTCATGTTAACTTAATTTGAACCTCTTTAAAGACCCTATCTCCAAAATACAGTCACAGTCAGAGGGACTGGGGGTTAAGATTTTTTGGAAGGGGGTGCAGTTCAGCTCATAGGGTCAGGGAAGGGGTCTCTGTTACCTTTTCATGCCCCGAGCGTAATGGCGGTGGATCTCAGGGTGGTCCAGTGGGAGAGAAGGGAGGGACACCGAAGCTCAGGGACAAGGGGTGAGTTCCATCTTCCCTGGTGGGGAAATCAGAGGAGGTTGCATGGAGGAGGTGGTACCAGAGTGGGCCTAAGGAATGAATAGGAGAAGTGCACGGGAGATGGAGAAGAACACTGAGCGGGGAGGAACAGCTTGGGCAGGCTCTGGGAGGTGGGAATTTAAAGGTGTGTACGTGTTGTATGAAGAGACCGTGAATGCACTGTGCATGGAGGCGGATCAGAGGGAAGAAGTTTGGGAGAAATAGGTCGAAGTCAGCTCCTCATGGAACCTAACATGAGGCTGGAGAGCCCAAGATGGCAGCATGAGGCAGTGGTTTTGTTTCGTTTTGTTTGAAGGTTAAAAGCTTTTATTTAGAGAGGCTGAAATGATTGTGTGCTAATTGGAACAGCTAAGTTGTGCAAGAAATGACTTGAAAATCCCCTTTTGATACCCCTGAAGAGCTGGATTCCCTTATATGTGCTCTGTTCTTTCTGCAGACTTCCGACCTCAGGTGGAGTCGAGCAGAAATACGGCTTCGGCTCCCTGCCATTGCTGCTGGGCTCTGGACCCCTGAGCTTGTAAACAAGAAGGTTACTGGGGATGGTGCCCAGGGGAGGTCAAAGCCGTGGGTGATCCCAGTTCCTGCCACACGGTCCCCTCCGCGCCGGTCTTCTCACCTCTCAGGCGACCATGTGCTTTCCTGTGTATCACAGTGAGCTGGTGGGATTCATCACAGAAACGGTGGTGGCGATGGACACGTGAGCCTCGGAGCCAGCTGGCCTGGGGTACCCCCAGCCTCA